TTCACAGCCCATACTGTAAAATTAATCACAATTTGTCAATATAATATCATTTATATTCATAATAATATACTATTATATATATTAATATATATTCATTTATATTCATAATAATATATTATATATATTAATATATATTCATTCATATCCATAATAATATACTATTTTATATATATTAATATATATTAATTTATATTCATAATATTATATTATATATATTAATATATATTCATTCATATCCATAATAATATACTATTATATATTAATATATATTCATTGATATTCATAATATGCTATTATATATATTAATATATATTCATTCATATCCATAGTAATGTACTATTATATATATATTAATATATATTCATCCATATCCATAATAATGTACTATTATATATATATTAATATATATATTCATTCATATTCATAATAATATACTATTATATATATTCATTTATATTCATAATATTATCTATATTAATATATATTCATTTATATTCATAATACTATGCTATTCTATATATTAATATATATTCATTTATATTTTCTGTAGTGCTGACAGCAAATGTTCTGTCACACACCCAAAGCAGCCCTGATAATCCTGCATTAATATTTTCCCCCAAAATCCAGAGTACAAATGAAATATTTTAATTACACCCTATTGATATAGTCAAAAATCAGAGATTTATAACTTATTTTAAATGATAAATACTTGGTTAAATTTAGCTTAATTAAATTCTTTTTTTTTAGCAGCAAAACTAAAATTAAAAGCCAAATAAAGCTGTTTCATCAAGAATCTTCAGATTCTTGCTTGCATCTGTTTGCTGTTTTAAAGTCAGGCTGAAGGGAACAATTTTATTTTTTTTTTCCCTAGTTTTTAAATAATGAGAATTTTACTATGTGCCAGCCAATTCAAATGTAAATTAAACTACAAATATTTAAATATTCATTATATTAAATAACTATTTCTGTAATTACTAAGAAGTCCCAAGTCTAGAAATCTGTGATCAGTGGGAGCTTCCCAAGGTCTGAAATGTTTAATAGAGTTTATTTTAGGCTGGGTTCTGTCAAAGGAGCTTCCAGTTCCCCTCTAAAAAACCAAAATATTTCAAGAACTTGTAGCTGGGTGGCTGTGCTTGCTTCACTTCCTCCAGGCTTTCTGTTGCACAGCTACACCCACAAAAAGAGAATATCTCTGTTTTCAAGTCTCCAATTCATTATTTCCTCCAGCTCTTCATTCCTGTGTTTTCTGCTTCAGGATGGGGTGAGAAAAACCTCCAGGAAAACAAATTGGAGTAAATACAGTAAATACAAATTTTTTATTTTTTACATATTTAAATAATGTAAAATACATTAAATATTTAAAAAAATCTCCAAACAATCTGTTGTAACTTCCCAGAGTGTGTTACAGCAGGAGGATAATGAGGTTTTGGAATATTTGCTCTCTCCATACATATTCCAAAATCCATGGGTGCAGAATGGCAATTCATGGGCAAAGCTTATGAGAGGAGATAAATAAATCAATTGAAGATGCAGAAATTTAGGATTTATTTTTGCCATTCTTTATTGTACTCCTGCTTAAAAATGAGAGCATTGTGGTCAAGTGGGGAAAAAACCCCCAAAGCCAAAAAAGAGAAATTAAAAATTGAAATCAGTGGGAGCTGCAGACAGAGCAAAGGAGACACTTGTCTCATTTTACTGCCTAAAGGCTTTTGGAAGAGAAAAATGCACTTTTGCTGCCTTGATAGCAAGGAATTGATGGCATAAAACAACCAGGAAATACAAATGTAGTGAAAAAATCAAAATTCCACAATACCCAGGCTGCCTTTGCTGTCAATGCTCTCACCTTGGCTGTGCCAGGCAGGTGGGACTGGAGCTGCAGGAAAACAAATTGCAGTAAATACAGTAAATACAAATTTTTTATTTGTTAATAGTTGTTTTACAATCTGATTTTGCCAGAGTTTGCAGAAAGGGAGAAATGTGAAGTGCAGGATGAAGTTTGGGCCTGAGACCCCAAAGCTCAGTGAGAGAGCCCTGGGAGCAGGGCAGGGGAATATTTGAAGAGAATATTGACAACTTCATTTATTTCATATTTTTTTTCCCCAAAATGGAGTTTGTTTTCTTCTCCCACAAATGATTTTAATGATGGCAGCATCCCTTTTTTCATAGAAACTGGAATTTCAGGCTTTCCACCCTCCAAAGGGAAGTAAAGCTCTGTGTGCAGCAATGGGTAAAGAACAAAGGAAATTCAGCATTTATTTCTCTTGGAAATCGCTGGAAATTCAGCTTTATAACAAATATTGCTGAGGTTTTCATGGGATTTTTCCTTTGANTATGCATTAAGAAATAAAACCTATTTAAGAAACTTTTCAAACCAATTAGAAATTATTTTAAGTTATCTAAATTTAAAAAAAATAAATAATGAATCTGAAACTTATTTACACTCTATGTACTGCAAGCATGCCTGTAATTTTGTAACAGATTTTTCAGCAAAAATTCTGGAGCCCACATTTTACCACTACAATTTTTTGAAGCTGATATTTTGTTTGAACGAAATAGAAAGTGTTGGCAAATTAAACAAATATTTCTTTTGCTTGCTGCTTTGTGAATTGATAAAAACTTGAGCATTTTTTTGTTGATTTATTGCAATTGTTGTACAAAAAAAAATTTCTCCTAATTTACATTTCTTTTATGTGCACACATTCAAACTTTTTAATTTAGGGTCAACCAAAAAAGGGGGAAGTGTACATTGAAATTCCAAAAATGGTGTAAATAAAGTGGAGCATTTACAGCCTTTTTTAGGAACTGTTTGAAAAGACACTTCTTTTTTTTTTTTTCTTTTTCTGTTTATAATAACCAGATTAAAAAATTCATCTATTTAAATTTTTAAAAAAAAAAATTTTGACTTTGTGTGGACATCTAGAAGCTGAATTTGATTTAAAACCAGAGAACAATTTGAGAGCCCTTGGGGTTTTTAATTTGGGTGAATTTGAACTTGTTGAAGCAGCTTTATTTTGCCTGCTGTTCTGGAGTCAATGCAAGCTGTCTTTGGGAGCTCTGCTGTCACTTCTGTCCCATCTTTGGGGTTTGGTTTTTGCTGTGCTGGAGGAGCTGGCAGTGCCCAGGGCATGGGCACCACACAAACACAATCCTGGGCCCTTCCTGTCCTTCCTCAAAAGAGCTTTTTGTTGTTTTTCTCTCTTTTCTTAAGGTGCAATTTTAAGACAGCTCCCACTTCTACAATTCAGATAAAAACATCTCATGATGAAACTTATGCTGTTAATTGTGAAATAGGAGGTAAATTCCCATCGACAGTAATTGTTTCTCTGGCTTTGTGTTTCCTCCAAGCAGGAAGGAGATGATTATGAAGTCATTCCTGACAGCAAATTCTGTGTCTCTAGAACTGCCTATAGAGACAATTCCTCCACCTACTGCATCAATGGCAAGAAAAAGACATTCAGGGATGTTGGCCTGCTCCTCAGGAGCCATGGCATCGACCTGGACCACAACAGGTTCTTGATTTTACAGGTTGGTGTGTGAGTAACCCCCATTGCCAATCCCATTTCCAGCTAAAACTCCAACCTGCAGGTTTGCAAAGCTGCCTTGAAGTGCTGTAGCAGCACATCATGGTTTGCATGCTCTGCTCAGGCTGCAGACCAGCATGTGCTGCTGCAGGAAGGGAAGGCTCAGAGCTCTGGGATTTGTTCCTTTTTCCAGCAGGGAATTGTGGCTTTGCCTGCAGCATCGTGCTGGTCCCGCCCTAGCAGCACGTAAATATTGGAGTGTCCCACAGGCAACCCCAATATTGCTGTGCTGCTTCAGCGGGGCACAGCCCCAGCACCACCTGGGCTGAGAAATCTGCATTGTTTAATTGTTTTCTGCTCTCACAGACTGGGATTTACTGGGAACTGAGTGGGAAATGAATTGTGTCAAATAACTGCAAAAAACAGCCCCTGAATTGTTTGTTTTTACACTTGTTCACCAGCTCCAGAAATACTTTTAACCAGTGTTTAACAGTGTTTAACCAGTGTTCACAGTGTAACTGTGAACCAATTACACTTCACAGCCCATACTGTAAAATTAATCACAATTTGTCAATATAATATCATTTATATTCATAATAATATANAAAACTTCCTTTTATAGGGGTTCAAAAAGCTTTAAAAGCTTTGCTATTATAAAAATATGCTGCTGTTAGAGTGAAATTACTGAAATATTGTTCTGAATTTCAAAAAATTGTCTTGAAAATACTAAATATTCCTAAAAATACCAAGTATCATAGTCATAGTTGTCATACATTAAATTTTCTGGTGGTTTCATGGGATTTTGAAACAAATTTATGGATTTTTACCCTGTCCCCAACCAGGGGAGGTTTTCCTGATCCACAGTGTTGCATTTTCCAGGAAATATTTTCTCTAAAGCCATTTCTTCTGGGCACAAATGGGATTTTCACTCTCTTTTCTCCATCTCTGATTAGTGGTGGAAATTTCCCTTAAAAAAAACGAAAACAACAAAACCCAAAGCAGCACAAGGGCACCACAGAATCCCCTAAACCCACCCAGATGCCCTGAGCTCCTGCCTGGGCACGGGGCATCCCCACCTATGAACTCCAAGCTGTGCCAGGCTCCTGCCTGGGCACGGGGCATCCCCAGCCCATGGACTCCAAGCTGTGCCAGGCTCCTGCCTGGGCATGGGGCATTCCCAGCTGTGCCAAGGCTCCTGCCTGGGCACGGGGCATTCCCAGTCCATTAATTCCAAGCTGTGCCAGGCTCCTGCCTGGCACGGGGCATTCCCACCTATGAACTCTAAGCTGTGCCAGGCTCCTGCCTGGGCACAGGGCATTCCAAGCTGTGCCAGGGCTCTCAGCCTGGGCACGGGGCATTCCCAGTCCATGAATCCAAGTTGTGCCAGGCTCCTTCCTGGGCATGGGGCATCCCCAGCCCATGGACTCCAAGCTGTGCCAGGGCTCCTGCCAGGGCACAGGGCATTCCCAGCTGTGCCAGGCTCCTTCCTGGGCACGGGGCATTCCCAGCCCATTGGTTCCAAGCTGTGCCAGGCTCCTGCCTGGGCACGGGGCATTCCCAGTCCATTAATTCCAAGCTGTGCCAGGCTCCTTCCTGGGCACGGGGCATTCCCAGCCTATGGACTCCAGGCTGTGCCAGGGCTCCCACCTGGGCATGGGGCATTCCCAGCTGTGCCAGGCTCCTTCCTGGGCACGGGGCATTCCCAGCCTATGGACTCCANCCATCGCGAGTCTTCAGAACACAACGGATAATATAAGGTTATTCTGGTGAGGTGGTGTGGAGTGCGTAGTGCTAAAAATAAAAAAAAATCGGGATTTTTCACCAGGCCCTGATGTGACACCCAGCTAAGGAACCTGGAAAATTTAACCATGGAATATAAGCAAATAACCCATCGCGAGTGTTCGGAACACAACGGATAATACAAGGTTATTCGGGTAAGGTTGTGTGGAGAGCATAGTGCTAAAAATCAAAAAAATCGGGATTTTTCACCAGGCCCTGATGTGACACCCAGCTAAGGAACCTGGAAAATTGAACCATGAATTATAAGCAAATAACCCATCGCGAGTCTTCGGAGCGTAACGGATCTCAACTCTTCAGAGCGTAACGGACAATACGAGGTTATGCTGGTGAGGTTGTGGGGAGTGCATAGTGCTAAAAATAAAAAAAATCGGGATTTTTCACCAGGCCCTGATGTGACACCCACTAAGGAACCTGGAAAATTGAACCATGGAATATAAGCAAATAACCCATCGCGAGTCTTCGGAACACAACAGATAATACACGGTTATTCTGGTGAGGTTGTGTGGAGTGCGTAGTGCTAAAAATAAAAAAAATCGGGATTTTTCACCAGGCCCTGATGTGACACCCAGCTAAGGAACCTGGAAAATTTAACCATCAAATATAAGCAAATAACCCATCGCGAGTCTTCGGAGCGCAACGGATAATACGAGGTTATTCTGGTGAGGTGGTGTGGAGTGCGTAGTGCTAAAAAGAAAAAAAATCGGGATTTTTCACCAGGCCCTGATGTGACACCTAGCTAAGGAACCTGGAAAATTTAACCATGAATTATAAGCAAATAACCCATCGCGAGTCTTCGGAGCGTAACGGATCTCAACTCTTCAGAGCGTCACGGATAATACAAGGTTATTCGGGTAAGGTTGTGTGGAGAGCGTAGTGCTAAAAATAAAAAAAATCGGGATTTTTCACCAGGCCCTGATGTGACACCCAGCTAAGGAACCTGGAAAATTCAACCATGAATTATAAGCAAATAACCCATCGCGAGTCTTCAGAGCGTAACGGATAATAGGAGGTTATTCGGGTAAGGTTGTGTGGAGTGCGTAGTGCTAAAAATAAAAAAAATCGGGATTTTTTTGCCTTTATGTGGTAAGAAGAGATGGAAATTCAGGCAAATGAAGGGAATTGTCATTTTGTGAAATGAAAATGTTTCATAAAAAATAAAATTATTGTCATGATGTAAAGTTATGGAAATATGTGTTTGGGTTAGTGAGGGATCTTAGTGTAAAATACTGGAAATTCAGTCCAAGGAAGAAAATACTGGAAATTCAGGCAAATGAAGAAAATACTGGAAAATCAATCCAGTGAAGAAAATACTGGAAATTCAGGCAAATGAAGAAAATATTGGAAATTCAGTCCAATGAAGAAAATACTGGAAATTCAGGCAAATGAAGCAAATTTTCATTTCGTAAAATGAAAATATTTCATAAAAAATAAAATTCTTATCATGATGTAAAGTTACGGAAACGTGGCCAAAATGTTGAGTTAGTGAAGGGACTTAGTGCAAAATACTGGAAATTCAGTCCAATGAAGCAAACTGTCATTTCATAAAATGAAAATATTTCATAAAAAATAAAATTCTTATCATCATGTAAAGTTATGGAAACATGGCCAAAATGTTGGGTTAGTGAAGGGTCTTAGTGCAAAATACAATGCCAAACATCCAACTATCATTCAGAAGTGTTGGTTTGTTCACACCACATCATTAATAACTGTTCAATACCCCTTAAATTACTGTCCTTAAAGGCCGCACTCAATGGCCAGGGGAACAAAGGAAAAACAGGGAAAAAAAAGGCATCTGCAATTTACAAATGTTTTACTGAAATTTCAACAACAAAAAAACTATTTTCTGGCAGAGTCTATTTAGAATGAACACCATGTTCCATGTTTTTTTTCTGTGACAAAGGATATGTTTTGGCTCCTTTAAAAGGGAAGTCTTCAGTCTCATCTCAGTTGTTCAGATGGAGCATTAAAACCATGTGTTATAACTGCAATAAAAGAAAACAAATACATATATAAGTATGGATAATGAACATAATATATATGCATACACAAGCAGCCAAAATTCAAGAGGAAGACATTAACACTAAAATTAAAAGGTCTGAAGTAATTTTACATCACTACTGGGGAAAAATAAGCACCAAGAAATACCTGAATTTAAAGAGAATTCTGTTTTCACATTATCCAACTGAATATGGACAACTTGGAGAAAAAATGATGCTGTGAACAGTGATTCCTTAAGGTTGGAAAAGAGCTTTAAGATCAACCTGAAACATCAGAGGTTGGAGCACTGGAGATCCCCTGTGCTGACACACAGCCAGGAAGGGAAAACCTGGTATTTTCCTTCCAAATCCCAGAATTTATAATAATTTTAAAGCATTTTAATGGCTCTGTATGTGCTGCTGAAAGGCTGAACGCCCACCTGGGCCATCCACAGGTACATCCATCACTGCCAGCCCACGTATTATTCCCTCCGTCCCAAGGAATCCAGCAGGAGTTTTAGGAGAGATGTGGCAA